AGACAAAAAAAAATATAGGTCTGTCTACAATCCGTAACCTACTAGTAGAGGAAGACCCCCTAAAAATAAAAGACGTAGGGCCAACCAGAGAATCAAAAGAGGATATTTTTGTGCAGAATTTTAAAGATTTTTCTAATATATTTAATCTGTGTCAGAAAGATTAAACTCGGAATCTTTGATCGAATACATTATGTTTAACTTATTTAAAAAGGTTAGAGGTTTAAATTAATAATGATATTTACTATTTTATCTACTGAATTATGCTCAAATGGGTAAAAAAAATAAAAAAACAAACATTTTCCACGAATCTTTAATTACTAAAGTTTTTTTTTTAAATATTCTAAAATATATGACAAAAACATTAACATTTTTTAATGTTAAGAAATAGTGATAAATACAAATTAATAGAATTAAAATAATGTGTTTAATAAATGAGGTCACATGGGACGTAATAAAAACACGTGCCGTTTTTCTAATATGAGATTTTAGCAAAAATAAATAAAATAAAATTGAAGAATCCAATTATATGTTATTGCTTTAAAGGCATATAGCCGCCCTGTTGACCCTATCTCTATGTCAAATGACCATTTTAGCCCTGTATAGATGGAAATTAAATAATCTAAAAAAATAAATTTGGTTTTTTTTAGTTTTTATTTGAATTATATCTATAAAATCTAATCGAGAAAATAAATTTTTATAGAATTTATTCCTATTTTCACTCAATAAAATAACTTTACTTCAAATTATTTTTTATAAAATTTTAATTCAATAAATGAATAAAAAATACGAAAAAATTGAGGCAAAACTTTTATATGTAGTTTAGAGTTTAGGTCAAAAAGGAGTTTAATGACCCAAAATAAATTAAAGCATAATTGAGGGGTCATAAAATTAAGAGTGAAAATAAATTATTGGCTAAAAATACAAAACAAAAAGTAGCTAGGGGTACTGAAATATAATTATGGTAAAATAGAGATGCCCCACGTATGCCACAATTTTCAATTAAATAAAGTAATCTACGCCAATAAATAATAAATAAATAAATAAATTTTAGGCCTTTTCCTTTGGACCAATCACCAAAAAGTAATGTATAATAATTTTCTTTACAGAAATTTATCTTTCTTTTTTTCCTTTTCCAAAAGGTTAAATTAAGATAATTTTTTATATTTCATAGTAAATTTAATATTCAATTTTATCGTATAAAATAAATAGGTGCAATAATAGGCAATTAATAATAATAATCGAGATTTTTTTATTAAAAAATAATGCATTATATTTAGGCAATTTTTAAAAATAAATAAATTTAACAAAGAAAAAAAAAACAGGAGAGAAGCTGCAATTGACAAAGCTCACGTACATGCAAAGTCCAATGAGGAGTGTCGCATGAGATCCCAACCGTCTCCGTGTCTGGCGTTAGCACGTGACCATTTTTATTAGTGACAAAAATATCTAAATTTTGAAAATAAAATTATGTTAGACATTTAGTTTGGTTAATTATTATTAGGAATAATTATGAGAACGGAAGATTGAGTAAATGGGCAACAATCATGATGATATGTGGGTCTTTATATACCTCTTTAATCAATTTTATTCATTCTTTTCATTCCATTAGCCTTATCAATCAATTTCAATTAAAAAAAATACATATAAGTTCTTACTCGTCGTGTATTAGGTATGGGTCAGTGTCCTTGTTGGCACACCATTCGATTCCTAATTCTAATACTAATTATAACAGCCTAAGGTCGCGTCTACTAGGAATATGTCGATGTCAAGCTTAAATTCATGTTTTAGGAGGATACCCAAAACTCACGAGATGATATTTGATCATCTTAGATTACTACAAAACAAAATGAATGATCTAAATGTCTATCCATACAAATCTCGACTGTCTCAAAAGGAATTGTATGGTACCGAACAATTTGGATAAGATTTTTTTAAAAAAAGGAAATGATTCCTTGAGGCTTTAATTTATTTAAAGATTAATTTTTAGTATTTAAGATTATTTTACTGTGGATTTTAAGGAAGAGAATATATGTTGTAAAGAAAAAGGAGACGAAGAGATTGATAATGATATCTTGGAGATTAAGATTGTTGGGTACAATATGAACGTAATCTTTATTTACTTCATATTTCATATTAATCTTATAATAAAGTTTAATAATTTGACCGTTTGTTATACGATTCTGAATTAATTTTGGAAATTCAAAGCCAATAATATAATAATAATAAATAAGATTTAATAATGATCGAAATACTCATCAATAATTCATGTATTTATTATTCTTTTTTTAAAAGAAGAAACAAAATAATTGAGGTTGGAGTTTGAACAGACGTAAATGTAGGAACTGTAGAGTCAAAGTTTGAACAGTGAAAAATGACGAATTTACCCCTACAGTGTCACGATATCACTAGACCCCGTGACGTCATCGTACGGACATGACTGTATTACATTTCTCGTCCCATGAATCCATCCTCCTCCAGCACTCACGGGGAGCACACGTCACCAGAATTTATATAACTATTTTCTTTTATTTAAATTTAAAATTGACAGTTGGCAAAACGTGCACGTGGGTACACAGGAATATTTCTAAAATTTCCCGGAATTATTAATTTATTTTTAGAAAAAGGGAGAGGAAAAGAAAAGGATCTAATTTAAAAATACTATCTCGGGTACTAGAGTTAGGTTAAGTTTAGTCATATGAGGAAAAAGGTGGAGCCGTACACGTGGCCTTTATAGTGGGGCCCAGAGAAGTCAAAGATGATTGACGGAACAGTCAAAGAGATGAGTGGGGACTATGGTGTAGGGTCTTGCACCGTATAATTACCCATATGTAGGTCATGTATTATGATTCCAAATAAATCATGTAATATAATATTATTATTTTAGTGGTGGGCCACACCGTACGTCTCAAGCACTTTATAAAGACCATGATAGTGACACGTGCCTCGGATACCGATCCTAATTATATTTTTTTTTTTTCACTTATTATTATTTTGTATTTTTTCCACCACTCTCTTTTTGTGATTGTAAATTTATTAGTTTTTTTTAATTATGAAAAATGTGAAAAATAATATTTTAATTTTAAGTTGAAGTTAATTGGTAAAGAAAAATAAATATTTATAGTACTATCTACCATGTCGAAAAATTAAATTTTTGTCTGTAGTTTTCTCATGTTTAACGTACTCTTTGATCGGTACAATTTTTGTGCGTACACAAAAACAAGTCATTTAAGTTTATTTAAATTATTGTAAAATCTAAACTATTATTTTATAATAAAAAAAAACAAAAATAACCTTATTTATCGTAGATAGCAAGATATTTGATTTGTTTAAAAATTATTTCGTTGGATTATATATTTTCAGTAAATTTGTGTTTGAATGACCAAAAAGTAGGTTTTAAACTGTTAATTATTCTTCTCAAATGAAGGGTAGTTTGGTCATTTTATTTTCTTTTTTTCTCTTTTTTTCTCTCATTATTATATTTGGATTTGGTTAAATATTATATTATATTTTTATTTCTGTTTACTTATAAAATATTATTAGATTTATTAGAATGTTTTAAAAATTTATCATTGAGAATCTCGACATGATTCCTGTGTAACAGCTCAAGCTCACCGTTAGTAAATATTGTCAATTTTTGCTCGTTATGTATCGCCGTTAGCCTTACGATTTTAAAACGCGTCTATTAGGGATATGTTTTCATATCTTTCGTTCACCTCTCCAACCCATCTACGATCTCGCTCCCATAAATTCAATTCCTAATAGACGCGTTTAAAAATATTGGTTATAAAATGAAATACAAAAAACATACGTTAATTAAGAGAGAGAAGAAAAAGTATAATTAGGAAAACAGTGGAAGGGGAAAAAGATTCTTTCGTATAAAGGAGAGGCTGTCGTCCAATACTAATCATTATATAATATTTTTATATATATTTTAAATAACTTTTTTTAATTAAAAAAAAAAAAAAAAAGGAAAAAAGTGAGCTGGTGAGCAGTCAACGTTAGAGTGAGGTTTGCCGACAATTATTTGTCTGTCCACTAAAATCAGTAATTACAATCCTAAACCTAAAACATTATATTATCACTTTTTTTACTTCACAGTAAAAATGAATTTTAATAGTAATATTCACAATGAATTTTAATAGTAATATTCACACCATTTTATTAGTTTTCATCTTTAAATTAATTTTTTTTTTTAAATCTTGGTATTAAAAAATAGAGTTTTATAAGCTTAAATTAAAATAATAATAATAATAATTAAAAATAAAAAATAAAGGATTGTTGGTTTAGAAAAAGAGATTGAAATGAGTTGATGAGTAGCCATTGTCAAATGACTCAAATTCTGTGTTTTGCTGTGACTCAAAGCATCAAAAATAATATTATTTACATTTTAATTTAATTTAATTTTTTTTATAAAGAAAAAAGTGGATACATTATTTCCCTTATGTCCTAAGCATATGGCATTAGTCCCTAAACGGGATTAGCCCTAATAATGCAATTCTTGAACTCAAATTAGAAAGCATCAATTTTTAATCCCATTCGAGTTTTGTAGGGTAGTGACCAGATTGAGGTACTTTCACGTGTTCAACAAACTATAGGGTAACGTTCGAGTAAACTAAAAGTACATGAATGAATCGACACTATGAATATTATTAAGAACTTCAAACGTAAGTATGAAGTTGTTGATGACATTTAGTCTTCTACTACCATATATATCATATTTGACCATTGATCATAGGCTAACATCATGTAAGCATGAACGTGTGTTGGTATGTAGAGATAATATGATCGTATGATATAAGGGATGCAGAGACATGTCAAGGTCATTTAGTAGGTAACGTGGTCATGTCGCAAGAGACGTAAGTGAATGTTAGGCCTATTTTGTGCTAGTCGACAAAGTGACCATGCTGCAGAGGATGTGAAAAAATGTCGAGATAACGTGTTTGTAGCAATCAAAACTGGGTGAGAGTGTGCATGAAAACAAACTGTCAAGAATTGAGGAGTTGAGAATGTTAAAAGGGTTTGATTTGATGGCAAAACGCTTCCCCCTCATCCTTTTTCCCTCTGGTTTTTGTCTAAGCTTCGAAAATGACTTCCACTGCTTGATTTCAATGGTGGGTCTCCACTGTCTTTCACAAATACACAAAAAAAAAGGGACAATTTTGGACTCAGCTTCTAAAAGTATCAACACAATCACTCCCCAAGTGCTTCTCCAGCTAAAAAGCTTCCTCCTTTGCTTTTTCTCTGCCTTCCCTGCCCGTGCTACAGCCTCTCCCCCGTTCGCCTCGGCATCAATACCGCCTCGGCAAATGCCAGAATTTTCAACTTAGATATGAACAAGATATGGCTATTCTAAGGTCGAATGCGTTTCGAGGAATACGAAAGTGAATCTCATATGAACAACACTGTTGGTTCCACCCCTACATCACCCAAAAATAGTGAAAAGAATTCAATAAATCCTAGGAGTCTAAAAAAAAAAGTATGGAAAATGGTTACACCGAGGAGGAATCGGCGAAAACTTGATTAAGCATATGATCGTCGTCGTTGCCGTTGGGTAGGGAGAATAGCTCGGCATCCTTGTCTTCGTCGGTGGAAAAGTCCCTACGGTCGAGCTTGGAATGAGCCGAAATGAATATCAACTTGTGTGCCATGTCCATAGCAGCAGGGCTTTGGTGAGTATGAGAATGAGAAGACACCCATCTCAACAAAGACCAGTTGCATTTGAAGCCACAGGAAGTGGCATGAAGGAATATGAGGCGCACTGCAACCTTGCCCAATGACTTGAATTCTGTAAGGTAAGTTTCCCAAACAAGCCTACTGCTTTGTGGATTAGCCACTCTCATCTTCCCACTTACAGGGTCTCTTTCCTTCATTTGTACAGCTCTTGCATATACTGGATCAAGCCCTTCTGTCCTCCATTTCATTAGCTCCATCAATGCAATGTGAGCTTCCTCCCTCGACACGAGCCGAGTTATGAGCTTATCGACGTCCTTCTCTTGATCCGGGCTCAGGCATTTGAATGGTGGCAGGTACTTCCCGCTCCTCTCCCTTATCAAATACAACGGATCGAGTATAAACGACGCCGCCCATGCCGGGTGGTAGTTCTTTTTGAACCTCTTTTCAATCACTTTCTCAACACTCCCTTCACCAATCTCATACTTTGAACACCAATCTTTCACTTTCCCCCTCAGCTCATCCCACAATCCAAGGCATTGCCCAACCAGTGGCCTCTCTGTCTCTATCTCAGCAGCCATTTCTCTTACCAATTTAACCAAACTATGAACTGCCTCCAATTCATTCCAAAACCCCACATTCCCAATCAACTCTCCCACTTCTTTACCAATTGGGTCCTCCATGGAACCATTTTTCCATGCCTCATCCAGCACAACCAGCTGCAGAGCTCGAGAGTAGCTCAGAATGTCTTCCATTAATGTGAAGACAGCCCCAAATTTGAGGTTGTCGTGGTCTCGGGGTGGCACTCGGAGCAAAGCCGCATGCCCGTATTCTTGCAGCTGAAATTTATGGAAGGAATTACGAATCTGTGAGTTGTAGTTAACGAAATTAGCAAGCTTTATACAATTCTCTGTCGTTGTCTTGAACAATGGGAGCTGTTTGCTGAAATCCTTAACCAAACTGGAAAATCCCTGGAACTGACATGAGAGATTAACCATCCAGTTGTGTTGATTCTCCAAATTCTTCAGCGCCTTGGCCTTGAATTTGTCTGCTACAATCCCTACACACTGTTGAACGACATTGCCACTGATATCAGCGATGGTTTCCAAGAAGATTTCTTGCGCGTACGAGGAAGGAACAGAGCCAGTGACGAATACAGCTCGCCGGTACAAGCTTGTCCCATTGGGGAGATTCACGGTGAGATTTACAAGCTTGTCGATTCCGACAAGGGCGTAGTTTTTGTCGTTCCACCCATCGGAGGCGAGCTGGAAAAACATGGCGTCTCGAATTTTAACTTCGGACTCTGTTTTAGCTTCCTCGAATTTGGAATTCAGTCGCGAAATTCTAAACTCCCGGCGAGGGATTGTGGGTATTCCAACTTGATTAAGAAAAGCCTTGAATTTGGGATGTTCGAGGCTTGAAAATGAGACAGAGCCGCCGGATTCGAACACCCAATCGGTGAGAAATTCAAGTGCGGAATCCATCTGGGTCTTGCTCAGCGTTGGCCCAGGTGAAGTTTTTGGACTCTTCAGCTTCTTTACACTGTCCTCCAACATAGCCAGAGCCCCCAAATCCTCCTTCCCTCCAGATAACATCAAATGCGGCTGCTGAGCCAACAGAGCCCCACCTCCGCCACCTCCGCCAGAGAATCGCGAGGGATCCACAATTGCAAGAGGTGGGACTTGGTATGAAGACCCTCCAACTCCACCTCCGCCGCCGCAAGCGGCGGCGGAGGAGGTTCGTTTGCGGTTGTTATGGTGAAGAGGAGGCGGAGAAGTGGAAGTGGGCGTTAGATAAGAGGAAGGGGAAACAGAAGAAATGGGTTTAGGCAGGGAGTTGAAATTGGGGCAAGTGCCGCGTTTGAGATGCTCGGAGGCGGTCCGAGATGGGTTTGAGGCGGAGAAAACGGCGTCGCATAAGGAGCACCGGAGTTTAACGGCCTTGGGCAAACCAGTGTCAGTGGAGTGGACGAGAACAGGTTCGAGGTGTGCCCAATACCAAGCCCCTTTACCCTTTATAGCCTTCGTCCGTACCGTCACCAGTCCTTCATATCGCTTGTGTACGACTTTCGCAGCCACCTCATCCGCAGAGGAACTCCCAGACTCCACTGCCGGAGCCGCCGGCGATGTAGACGCCATTGCCCCCCAACAAAAAAAGCTTCGAACTTTCAACAATCAACACTGTTTCTCTGTCACGATCTAGACTTCATTCATTCCCCCCTCCC